TGCTTATGTGAGGTCAGCTTGGAACAGGAAGGAGGAGGCTAAATTACTGGGCTGCAGATGGAGGATCAGCCCAGGCTAGGAACTGAAGACCACGGGTAATTTCAGCGTGAATTGAAATCAAGGCAGGACTGGGGAAATTCCCCGTGGGAGAATGGGAGAATTCCCATTCTCCGTGGTTCAGGGGAGATGCATGAGCTGCATACACAAGATCCCATGCGCGGTCCCTGGAAACACCAGTTAAAGGGTCTCGGAGAGCAGGACTGGGATCGGCAAAGAACCGGCAAGGTTTGGCCGATGTGCCCCAGGAACCTCTCTTGGCAGAAAGAGACGGCCTTCCCACAGTTATTCCTGCCCTGGTCCCCTCCTGCTCGGATTACTGCAAGGCAAGGCCGTTAGCATTGATTGCAATGCGAAGGGTGTGGGACAACCTCTGAACACAGCCCAGGAACTTCCGTTCCTCCAAAACAGGGCAGCCCAGGGGCTCATAGGGCTGACCAACACAATGACGTTACACCGTGGCTTTCGCTTCTGCACCAGCGCCCAGCCTGCTTCCGGGCCCAATTCAAAGTGGTGGCTCTGAGCCCCAAAGGCTTGGGGCCCTTTTACCTGGAGGATCACCTGCTCATCTCTAACCAAGACCATCTTCTGAAGCCCAATTCCAGTCAAATGAGGCAGGGGGTGCTTACAAGAGGAAGGGCCTTTCCCACGGTGACACCCCACCTGCCGAACCCCTTCCCTGAAGAAGCCCACCTGGCTTCCACAGCACGGTGTTTGAGGCACCAGGTGAGGACTGGGCATTTCAGTGGTCTTAGATCTTGGCACTGGTTGTCCTTCTGGTATGACTATGAACTCCGTTGTTCTGACTGCTGTTCCTGGATTTATTCTGGGTTTATCATGAAATGTTTCATTGGCACTGTGTTATTACCTTGCATTTAATGCTGTATTTTTTCTGCATGCTGCCCAGGGCTCTTCACTTATTGGGTGGTCTGCAAATGTAACTAGAAATAAGAGGAGAAACACTAAAAGTGGCTAGTGACTCTGCGGTGCCATTTTTAAGAGGAACAGATTCCTGCTCACATATTCGGCTGCAATGAAATTATTTATTTATTCAATTTACATTCCGCTATACTAGTCCAAAGACTCTCTAGGTGGATGTGTTTGTGTGAGGCAGCCTTCAAGTCTTAGCATGAGGTTGAAAATCTAATCATGTTTTAATATTTGAACAGCTGTCATGCAGACACCCCTTGCAAATGGGTATTTATTTGGTCTGCTTTTCTTGAAGTTTATGTACAATTCCTAAAAGACTCTATTTTTAAATGATGCTTCCCGTACATGCATTGCAACTGATGTATTCCAAATTATGGCACTACATCTTTTCGTTCCCTTTTGTTTTGTTGACACTTGGCAATAAAAAAATACCCAGGAAAAGAAGAAAAGTCCTGATTTATAGCATGCTGGGCAACCCCATGCTCCCACGCCAGAATTTTTTCCAGGTTTTGATCTCCCCCGCTAGCGTTTCTTGGGCCATTGCTACTGAGTTGAAAGACACCTCCGGGAATGTCGTTGCTCATCCTCCGACCCCAGTCCAGAGCACACGCTTTTACCGGACAAGAAGGCCAAATCACAGCCATCACTTAATTATGGGCTTTCACTCTCTCCAAAGTCGGAATTCTCAGCCTTGGGCCAACACGGTCAAAGTGTGCCCGTCTGCTGGGGAAACGCTACAGCCGGCAGATACAATTGTGCCATTGTTCGAGCGGATCAGGGAAGAAGGAAGTCACTGGCTGGACAGCAGAGCCCAGAGGAACGTGGCTTCCCACGGGGGCCGGGACGGGACACGGCGCTCGTCCCAAGGGCAGCCGAGGCTCGCAGAGACTTCTGACATTGCCACACGTGTTTCGCCAGGCCGGATGGTTCTACTCTTGAGAAAAAGATGCGCGCCCAGTGGAGGGAACATGGTGTGGAAATGCGGGTGTGGAAAACATGGCGTGACCCCATCAGCCACTCCAAAATGTTTTTCTAGGTATAGTCGCATGGTCCAGACAGTCGAAAAAGAAGGATATTTTCCCGTTGGCTTTGTCCCTCCCTTCTCTCCCTTCGCCCTGGCTTTCTCCCTCAGGATCCTCACCCTGCAGCGTCAGCTTGCAGCCCAGGTAGCTGCAACCTCTTGCCAGCCAGGTAAACAGCTCCAATTCACAAGGGGGGGGGGGTGTCCTGGACTTTCCCTGTGGGGGTAAGGAGGTCCTTCTCTTCCCCCTAAACTCTTGCCCTGCCACTGTTGGGGGGATCAGGCTACCGGGGGCGGCGAATGAAGAGACTATCAGAGGCAACAGACAGGCGGGTCCAACTGGCAGGACGCGGCGGCATCTCCCAGGTTCTTCCAGGTGTTTCCATAGCAAAACAAAAGACCGAAGAAGGTGCTGGGAAAGCGTGAGGGGGTTCCAAGCGCAAGAGGAGGTAAAGACGCCCGTCCCTCAGCAATAAAGCTCCGTGAATGAGGCAGGATGAGTGCATGGAGACGGCCATCACAGAACACAGCAAGAGCCGTGCCGGATCAGACCAAGGGCACGTCAGGGGCAGCCCTCTGCTTGCACAGAGGCCGACCTGTGAGAAGCCTGCAAGAGGGCAAGAAGGCCACAGCACTCTCTCACCCATGTTCCCCAGCGACTGGTGTCCCTACGCACGCTGCCTCCAGTCCTGGCACCGGGAAGCAGGATCAAGCCCTCGGCCTGATCCAGCCTGGCCCGTCTTCCTTTCAAGGTCTCTGTGGTTTTGATTAGAACGGGCCTCCCCAGCTCGGCTTCACTGGCGGCTGCTGCTGACTCGGCATCAAAACTCCAAGCGAGCACAGATGCTGACCGGGAGGAGGCAGGTCGGAAACCGGCGAAGGGCCGGAGCCAGCCAAGGCGGGGACGGGCCCGTGCCTTCCCGGGGGGAGGGGGGGGGGGGGTGTCCAGTGGGGACAGTGCGCTTAATTGTTCAAGATCCTTGTTATAAATCATGTAACAACTTCGGGGGACGCACCGTGCTGCTCACACGCATACCAGAGCCGAAGCAAACACGTCTGGATTCCTACTGCAAGACAACGCTCATCAAGGAAAGCAACAGACCTATTTATTTATTTAAATTTATATAAATATATTTATATTTATTTCCTTTTTCCCTTCCAAGGAACTCAGGGCAGCTTACATAGTTCTCCTCCCAATCTTGGCCGCACAGGAACAACAACCCTGTGAGGAAGGACGGGCTGAGAATTCTGGGCCTGGGCCAGAATCTCCCTGCGCACTCCCTGGCTCCCAGCATACAGCTGCAGGCCCTCTTCCCGGTTATTCCACATGGGATGGTGCCCTGGGAGGGAACAAGGCTGGGGACACAGCGGTTAGGTAGGAGCTGAGTGGGGATGAGCTGCTGGGAGGGAGGAATTGGTTGAAATTATTTATTATTTATTTATTTGGGAAGCTTGTATGCCGCCCCATTCGCACAAGCCCTGGGGCGGCTTCCAACAAATAAATAACAATACAAAAATATAAAAATTGGATACATCCAGGCAATAAATAAAACGAATAAATAAATTAACAATTAATTAAAATAACGTTTAAATAAAAAGGTCTTGGCCTGGCGCCGAAAAGCAAATAACGATGGCGCCAGGCGGACCTCTCTGGGGAGCGCATTCCATAAATTAAAAAATGAATGAACCAACCAACCAACGAATGCCTGCGCGGATTTATTTCTTCATTTAGCCTGCGGGGAGGGGAGGGGAGGGGAGGATAGCAAATTTGTGCCCCACGCAACCCACGGCCCCAAGGCCAAACTTAGCAATGGCTTAAGAAACCAAGCCAAGCCAGTGGCTGGAGCCCTGAAGGAGCCACATGGGTCCAAAGCTCACAAGCTAAATTCGATGCTTTCCATGCTCCGCAGCCAGCCAAAGCAAGCCAGCCGTTCATGCGCCTTCTTCCAGAGTTGCGCTCACACCATGCAGAGCACACGCCTGCTGCAAATGTTTTAATAAATAAATAAAATAAATAAAAAGTGTGTCACTACGGTCGCTTGCGTGTTGTTCAGTGTCAGGAAGCCAATGCTGAGGTTCGCTGGGGTCCCCCGGTGTCCCTCCCTTCTCGGCCCCCCCAGCCCCCGGCACAGGGGGGGTAGTCAAGAGCATCACTGACATCTGCCGGCTGCACCTGTGACGGGCGCTTCTGCCGGACGCAGCACCACGGACCAGCAACCCACTCCGAAGCCTGCTTGAGAGCTGGGCCTCTGCCGTGCTTGCCTGGCCGCAGCACGTCCTCCTCCCGCAACCAGCCTTCCCCAACCCGGTGCTCCCAAGAGGTGTTGGACAGGTTGGGGAAGGCTGCTGAACTCTTTGGCCACAGGTCCAGCCACACTGCCCATCATCATCATCATCATCATCATCATCATCATCATCATCATCGGTAATTATTATCTTCACCATCATCATCAATCATCATCATCATCAATAATGGTTATTCTTCACTATCATAACCACTGCTATTAATTGCATCGCATTTATAAACCACCTTTTTCCTCTGGTAAGGGATGCAAGCAGCTTACACCGCTCCGTTTTGTCCTCAGAACAACAACCCTGTGAGGTAGGTTGGGCTGAGAGGGAGCGACTGGCTGAGTGGGGATGAAAACCCCAGGCTGCCAGTCCGACACACCACACAGGCCATCACGCCCCAATGTACCGGGAGCAGGTATGTGTGGGCACGCTCACACGCACACACCCAAGAGCACGGCTTCCAGACTATTTTTCTTCTCAAACGAATCCAGCCAGAAACAAACAAGTCGCGATATAAAGGGACAGAAGTGAAGCATGTACAGGTTTAGGTCCATCATGAAAGTGTGCAATTTGTCCAGAGCCGATAAATCAGACCTGCTTCTACCGCACGGCAAGAACGGCCTCCCCACCTCCCTGCACCGCGAATCCAAGCTGCAGTCTTGCTTCTTTTAATCCACCAAGGTTGCTCTTAAATCTTTACCTCATCACAGCCGTCGCTGGGGATGCAGGACGGCTGAGCCGCCTCGTTCCCGGGATCAAACACTGTCACCTCCGCAAACTCTTCCACGGGTTTCGGAAACTCGGGCATGGAGCGCCGCCCATAGCGTTTCCCGCCCTTGATGTATTTTGGTTGGGCTTCTGGAGAAGAATCTGGAAGGGAGAGATGCAAGCCAAACTGAGTGCAGAAGCTACTGGATCGGTACATAGAAACATAGAAACAGAGCGAGTCAGAAGGGGCCTCAGAGGCCATCTAGTCTGACCCCCGGCTCCAGCTGGCTCCACTCACGACATGCCCACCATGAGCATGTCCAGCCTATCTTTGAACACCCTCACCGATGGAGCCTCCACGACCTCTCCTCGTACCATTCAACGGCGCAGCTCACTTCTGAGAAGAAACCTGGAATGGTTTGCTCGGGAGCAAGTTCGATCCGGGGCTGGAGTGGGAGGACATGACCTTCTCTGCAGGAAGGGGTGCTGCTCCCATGCGTATCCGAGCAGTCTAAGGCGGTGGCAGCGCAGGGGCCTTGATGTGGCCCAAACGGACCCCAGAACTTGGCTGCAGGCACTGCCGCTTCCCCCTCCGCTGTGCTAGCTTTCTACATTTATTAATTCGTTTAAAGCTTTTATGTACCGTCCCGTTACTGGCGTCTCGGGACGGTTTACAACAAGCACGAATAAGATAAAAATGGTACAGCATCCAGTGATGAATATAAAAACAATTAAGACCAATTAACAATTAAAATAATGAGAAAATAAAAAGGTTTTCACCTGGTGCCGAAACAAAAAAAGCGCAGGTGCCGGGTGGACCTCCCTGGGGAGCGTGTTCCCCTGTCGGGGTGCCACCGCAGAGAAGGCCCTCCCCCGGGTGCTCTCCCTCCTAATCTCCTTCAAGGAGGGCTCCCAGAGCAGGACCTCCCCCTCAGATCTCAAAGGGCAGGAGGGCACGTGGGGAAGAAGGCGCTCCTTCAGGTATCCAGCTGTTTAGGGCCGTATGCGTCATTACCAGCACCTTAAATTGGGCCCGGACTTCAACTGGCAGCCAGTGTAACCGATAGAGGACTGGTGTTATACGTGAAAACAAGCCAGTCCCCGTTATTGTCCTGGCAGCTCTATTCTGAACCATCTGAAGCGTCCGGACTGTCTTTACGGGCAGCCCCACGTGGCGCACGCTCCAATCCCTGCATTACACACAGGAATCTTTCCGTGCACTCAGACATTAACCAGGGCATTCCTGCTGCTGCAGTCAGAACTGGCGCACCCCCAGCCACCCCGTTCTACAACACTCTGGATGGGTGCCAAGCAGAGCGGGAAGAAGCCCTGGGGGGGCATCCAGGGACGTCCCGGCAGGGCTCTCGGCCCAGTGCCCCAGAGCCTCTCCCCACCCTCGCCACTGCCGCCCGTTTGCCCCTGGCCCGGACAAGCGGCTGCGAGCAGGAGGGGACGCACCCTCCTCCCCGGCTCTCCCCGTTCACTAAGCAAATGTTGATGAGGAAGAGGAGGAGGAGGAATGGGAGCAGCTGGTGGCCTGGTGCTCTGAGGGGGGGGCCACGGAGGGTCTTTTGCCCAAGGCCCCAAAAACAGGGAGCCAGCCCTGGCAGGCTCGTCCCAGGACAGTCACCTTTAGCGGCAGCACGTGCTCTTGCAGGCAAGTCGTCCGAGCACCTGGCCAGCGCCTTCCCTGCTAATGCGATCCTATAATTACAGCAAACCTCTCTCTCTCTCTCTCTCATACAATTTAAATAAATCTCTGGGGTTCTACTAAGCCAATCAGACCCCTTGGAATAGTGCTTATTCACCTTTGATTTAAAAACTCCTGAGTTTCAGTCCAGATACAGCCACAAAGCAGCCCAGAGAAGGCCAACTCAAGCGCCTTTGCCGTCTTTTCATATAAAAATAAGGCATAAAGCTGATTCAGACATAATGGGGAACCTCCAGCGCCAGTCCTACCCAGAATACGGCCACATAGCAATCAGGGGGACTTGCATGAGCGATGGCTAACTTAAGCCTCACTTATTTCAATAAGCCTACTCTGTGTAGGAGTAACACTGGCTGGTTTCCAGCAGAAAAAGTCAGCCCAAGCAAATGGCAGCACAAGCCAGGATAAAATGGCTTTAGGAAGAAACGAAGCGAACGAGGCTGTCGTATGTCAGACTGTCAGTTCATCATCTCACTGCTGTGCCAGCCCCAGGGTGGTGTAGTGGTTAGAGCACTGGACGGGGGCTCAGAAGAGCTGGATTCTAGTCTCCATTCAGCCATGAAGCCCACTGGGTGAGCTGGGGTGAATAGCTAAATGGCCCAAATACTAATAACATTAATACATTTTTTTTGAAATTCAACATTAAGAAAACTAAGATCATGGCATCCGGTCCTCTCACTTCCTGGCTAATAGATGGGGAAGAAATGGAGGTAGCGACAGATTTTATTTTCCTGGGCTCCAAGATCACTGCAGACGGGGATTGCAGCCAAGAAATTAAAAGACGCTTGCTCCTGGGGAGGAAAGCTATGGCAAATCTAGACAGCATACTAAAAAGCAGAGACATCACCCTGCCAACAAAAGCGCGTATAGTCAAGGCTAGGGTTTTCCCAGTTGCAATGTATGGCTGTGAAAGCCGGACCATAAGGAAGGCTGAGCGCCGAAGGACTGAGGCCTTTGAATTGTGGTGCTGAGAAGACTCCTGCGAGTCCCTTGGACTGCAAGGTGATCAAACTGTTCAGTCCTAGAGGAGATCAACCCTGGCTGCTCTTTAGAAGGCCAGATGCTGAGATGAAACTCAAATACTTTGGCCACCTGATGAGAAGGAAGGACTCCCTGGAGAAGAGCCTAATGCTGGGAAGGATTGATGGCAAAAGAAGAAGGGGATGGCAGAGGATGAGGTGGCTGGATGGGGTCACTGGGGCGGTGGGTGAGGGCTTGGGTGGACTCCGGGGGATGGTGGAGGACAGGAGGGCCTGGGGGAGTGTGGTCCATGGGGTCACGATGGGTCAGACACGACTTTGCAACTAACAACAACAACAAATATATTTTTGGTAGCTTGGTGAGATATACTTTCAAAATAAGGAAAGTTGTAGCACCTGTACAGTAAGATGGATGAGATAAGAACTGCAAAACCCCAGAGAGAGAGAGAGGGAGGGGGGGAACCTGCTTTATTCCTTTGTTTCTCTTACCTGAACAGGTATGTCTGTGACTCACCTGATCGAGAGAGAAAATTGCAGCCACGGGGACAGATCCTATGTAGCCACAGATTTAGCCATTCTAGCTGAGTTTTCTGGGCTTCAATAATTATTTGAGAGACTATGGTCCCTAAAGCACTTCCCATACCACATAACACAAAATGTATATTTATTGCTCAAAGAGTACGAGAGAAAAATAAAATGCTGCAGTGATAAAACAAGCCAGACGCCTTCACTATAAACAATGCAATTAAGGGCACGATCCCATAGAGAAATGGTGCCAGGCACGTTTCTTAGTAAGAGTAAAGTCTTTATTTCTTTTAGCCAGCAAAGCTGCCCTCACAGATCTGCTCATCTCCGTGTACTCATTCTTCTGGCATCTCTTTGCTCCATCATCTCAATATTTGTAACGTTCCACATAACATTAGCTCTGGTTCCTTATCCTACAAATAAATTGATGCAGCCTATCTTAATTAAGAGCATCAGACTAGGCTGTGGTTGCTGGGGGGGGGGGGGGGGTGGTAGGGCAGATAATGCAGCCAGGTTTCCAGCTCATCTTGGAAGCCCGGTTGCAAAGGTCCCGCATGAGATCCAACCCACCCAGCTGCCATGAGCTCCCCTGTCCCAGCTCCAAAAACACAACCTCAAAGCTGGTCCAAGTCAATATAGAACTAATGATAGACCTTTTTCTTTAAACGTCATTTTAATTGTCAATATTATTTGCTTATTTTATCTGGCCAGGGCAACTTATTTTATATTGTTAATTCGTTGTATATTTGGATGTATTATATTTTAATTTTATGTCGTGAGCCGCCCCGAGGCTTCGGCGAATGGGGCGGCATAGAAATGTTTTAAACAAACAAACAAATAAATAAATAAATGAGCCACACTTAAACCATCAAATTCTGGGTTGTTTTCCCCTCAGAAATCTAGAATTCTGGGTCCACATGCTGGACAACCCAGGAAACGGACTTTCTCCGTTGTTATGAAAACGGAAATAAAGCCGAAGTGGCAACGGGCAGACAATGGGCACCTGCATGTGCTCCTGTGTGATCCAGACCAGTTGGGGGCTAATTAATTAACCGTCGTTGGTCATTATGTGCAAAATAGGTCAGCGTGTTAAAACTGATGGACTTTGGTGGACTGTGCTCAGTCCACGAATGGAAACGAAGTCTTGAAATGAATGAAGTATTCAGTTAAAAGGAAGGAGAGCTTTGGTTTAGATTTTTGGAGTCAATCTTTTTGATTGATTGAGAGAGAGATATGGAGAGCCTGCTTTGCGCCATGAATCTGGTGATTAAGGCAGTTTTGCATTTGATTTTAAGAGGGTCCTGATGAGGTTTTTTAAAATATCAGGAAAATGGCACAGATTAAATGGAAAGCCAAACTTCCTAATAGGTGGGATAGAAAGCTAATAAATAAATAAATTCTAAGTGCTAGAAAAAGAAATCTTCTCTCCGAGGTACACATTAGCATTCGAGGAGAAACCTATGGAAGGCTGAGACCTCACCACTCCCGTCTTACTGAATATCTCTTCGATACAATTTCTGTCTCCAAGCTTGTTAGCAGAAATGTATTCTGCAGCTTAGCTATGCAATGAATTATAAAATACACAGGACCAGGAACCCTTTGATATTGTCACCCCCCACCCCACATTTCCCCTGGACTTACACCCCATCCGTGCATCCCGCGCACCCCTGGGGAACGCGGGCAGGCGCACGTGTGTTTGAACAAGGCAATTTTAACAAGGTTTCCTGCAGCTGGGAGCTCGCACATGAAAGCCGGTACGATGAAGTGCACAGATAGGAAAAATCAGAAACGAGACAGGCTGATTAAATAAGACCCCAGGAACAAAAGCAAACCTTATCATCCCCATTAAAGCTGGCCTGCTGGCAATTGCCCGCCTGCAGCCGCTCTCTGGCAGATTCTCCCCGGCCTGTTCGTTTGCTCGCTTTGCCTTGGAGAGAAACGGGGTGGGG